AAACTAAATTAAATTGCAGTAAACCAAATTAACATAAATCAAATTAAAATAAATTAAATTAAACGCAAAAAATAATTAAACTAAATTAAAACAAGCAAAATGTTAACTTCAGTTTCACCTAAGCCAAATAACAAAAATTTCCTTAAAGAACTTAATTTTGACTCTCCAGTTTGTATGACAGCTATAGTGGTACGATTTCGACAGTTCGGAGAAATGAGTAGCTTCTTTTTGATTGTCTTTATTGAAATCGATAACTTTGTATCATTTTCGTGCCTGATATAGAATAATGCCTTAATTACAGTTATGTTCACATCCATAGTTGTGGTAAAGTCAGAAATTGAATTATGATACTATTACATCTCATCCTTTTCCTCCTTTCATCCGCCACCGCCCATGTAGGCACCCTAAAGAACAGCGGATAGCTACTTTATATCGTTTTTATATGCATAATCGAAACAAAAATCTCACATACATACAAACACACCTGCATGCTAATGGCAATTGGCTGCATGTGTATAGGTGCGCTGACCCGCCTACACAACGGTCACCGAGCAGCGCTCATTTGTCATATGAATGAAATTCAAGCGGCTGTCGCCGTGGCAATCAGCCAATACAACGGTATACACCTACACACGCGAGCTTATAAATGAATTTGTATATATGTATGTATATATAGAATACTCTCAGAAATCCAATACTTATATATATAGGTATATTTCATTCAAAGGAATTGGATTTGCACTCAGAGTTTTACATCTGCGCCACCTACACATACACCAGCGCGCAATGAAAGCTCTTATGTATGCATATATTTGTGTGTGTGTTACAGGGCTCACGGGCATAAGCTTTCATACACACTATACAAAAAAACTAGCGCTCTTATTGTTTTTGCATTGAAATCGTTCGCTTTAGTTTTGCCATGCCGAATGCTTGCTTGCTTCGCACGTCGCTTCCGTTCAATTTTGTAAAAACGTATTTTATCCTTTACGTTATTGTCCACTGATCACCGCCAAGCACTGGCTCATGTGCATGAGGTATACATAAGTGTGTATATATACATATATATGTGTGTGTATGAGTGTTTGCTTGCTCATGTGCACAATAACATATTGATTAAAATCGCCTTTTCCTCTTATGCAACATATTCTCTTTCCTGCTGCACGGCCTGCGACCGCTGCGCTCACCTTTCTCTACAGCAGCCTCTTGCTGTAAATGATGACCACTTCGATTATTTGACTTCGTTTGATCCTTGCACAAAGGAAATATAATTGGCCATTTCCATTTGAGCCATTTCAGCCGGAGTTTACAACTCTTCACGTTGCTGCTTTTCATCAATTTCGTTGAAAGAAGTGCGCTCACAAGTAAAGCTGTGTTGCCAAACCTTGCCTTGGCTTCATAAACACACACACACTGAAGCTTCTGCATATCCTTCAGCACTTATCTATTTAAATATTTGTTGTAGCAGCACTCGTTCCCTCACGCTACCGCCTTCTGCTAAGCATTCGTTGCAGTTGACTGGAATTTAATTTGAAAATTGCACACTATACACTATCCACACTCACACACACACACAAGCTGAACTGATTAAATATTTGATAGCTTACTAAGTAAACTCGTTGTGTCGTGGCCGGAAAAAAATTCAAATTTGATTTCCAACTACGAAATGTGTCCAAAGCTCATTGTCGGCCTTCAATTCTGTAGACAATAGCTCCGGCTGCTTTGTTTTGTGATCGCCGCCTTATGCGCAATTTCATTTGTGACAAACACACTGTCACATCCACAAGCACTACTTGCAAGCGCTTGCCTCGCTTAAACGCCACAAAATATGCAATGACATTCAGTAATATTTTATTATGCCATTCGCTCATCAATTCAACTTGCTGTTTGCTTGACTGCTTGCCAGCCTACACGTACACACATACATACATATATCTATATATATCGTACACAAGTAGCTGCATAGTAGATAAGTGGCTGCATGCCCTAAATTCTCCTGTCTAAAGCTAACTGTCTACAAGCCATGTATACGACCTTGTTCCGCAACGTACGAAACCCCAACGCCTACACAGTTCCTTAGCAGCTTCACTCAATCACTCTACACTCCTCCTGCCTGCTTGCCGCACCACGCTCGCCCGCCCCGCTTCATTATTATTCCTTTGGCAACAGCCTTTTCCATGTCAACTCAATGATTTTTCCACTCGTTTTCGAAATGAAATCGTTGTTGCTGCTGGGCGTGTTCTATTTAGCCAGTCACCAAGACTCACATCTATAGCAACAGCTTCCCGAAATAGTAGCGACGGAAAAAATTGAATTCAAAGCATATAAAGTGAATTGTTTAAAATTCTCTTGTAGTTTTGCTTTCATTTTCTATTTTTGCCTTCAAATATTTTAGTCACTTGTCAGTGCTTTGTTATCTTTGGCCGCTTTATTCGTTTACTTAAGGCTTTTGGAAATGACTTTGCTGCACACTTTGATATGTATATAAGTGTGTGTGTGCGTGTGGCTTTAACCTTTTAACTCAATAGTCAAGTGCGTCCTTATCTTGTTTACAATGCTCTATAACCTCCACAGCCGCTGACCTTAAGTAAATGCTATTGACTTTTATTGAGATGCAGTCAAACTAAATTGGAGAGGAAGCTGCTCACATACATATACTATACATATATATATGTATATACACTTGAAATCATATTACGTAAGGACGCTTGTTTCAATTTTATTATGTTTTTCACAAAGCTTTTTACGGATTTTTGTCAAGCCTTTTTTCCGTTTGTTTTTCAAAGGCCTAACGCACTTAAATGCCACAAATTTCCAGCCTTTTGAAGATGCTTTGTTTTTGTTAGAAGCATAAACAAATATTATCAAGATATTGTATACGAACTTGGTTACTTAAATATTTAGATATATACAATATGCAGAAAATAATTTCTTTCTACTTTAAAGCATACCTCAAGGGTCTGCTAGAAAAACTTTTTTACCAAACTTTCAAGTAAACTTAATATTTTTCACCAAATATTAGAGAATCTGCTAAATATATGACATTATTTTGTTAAAATCTCGGAAAAGCCAAATATTGTTTACTCTTACAGTAATCAACCTTTTGACAATTGGTGAAAGCTTAAAAAGCTTTTGCCAACGATCTAAAACCATAAATAATAAACTACGCTCAAGCTTTCACACAAATATACGCAGTATTGTTAGCTGAAAATCTAAAGCCCGTACAGTAGTCAAGCTGTGGACAATTTTTGAAAGCTTAAAAAGCTTTGCTGACGATCAAAAATCATATATAGTAAAATAGCATCAAACTTTCATACAAATAAACTCTGCACTTTTAGCTGAAAAGTTAAAGCTCGCTTAAATGTTCTGTTAAAAGCTCGAAAAGTCAAACAAAATATTTCTTACTATTACAGAAATCAACCTTTGGACAATTGTTGAAAACTTAAAAAGCTTTTATTGGCGAACAAAACCCATAAACAATAAAATAGCATCAGGCTTTCACACAAATCAACTCTGCACTTTTAGCTGAAGGTTTAAAGCTCTGGATAAATATTTTTTACTGTTCTACTAAAAACAATTTGAACAATCGATAAAAGCTTTAAAAGCTTTTTCCGGTGATCGAAAAGCCAACTAAATACCATAAGAGGAAAATGCCTGCAAGTTTTCTCACCAAATTTGTACATGATTTCAAAAGGTGAAGATAAATGTATTTTAATGCAAAATAAAAATTATTCAGTATTTTATTACAAAAGAAAGCTTTGAAATTACAGTTGAATTAAAAAATCGTAAAAGCTACTCATGCTACCAAAAGCACATAAGAAGCACAATTTTTAATCAAAGTGCCTAAAAGGCTTCTATGAACTTTTCATTAGATTATTATAAATTATTAGGCACATTTCAGCAAACATAGAAAGCTCCTTGAGATGTGCTCCTGAAAACTTTCACACAAAATAAGTTCAAAAAATGGAGAAAAATATGCTTTAACGCAGAACAATAATTCATACGATACATTATTACAAATAAAAATTTTGAAATTTCAATTGAATGAAAAAACCTTAAAAGCTTCTCACGCTATCAAAAGAACATGCGAAACAAGCTTTTAACCGAAGTGATTTCATTAACTTTTCATTTGATATAAATTAAAAGACAAATTTTAACAAAATTAGAAAGCTGTTTAAGACGTTCTCTACTAAAAGCTCAAAGCTTGAAACTTTTGGTAGATCTGAATCCGGTTTGTAAATACTATATATGTATATATACTATACTATATATGTATATAAAATGAACTACTTTATGTTTTATTGAATTTTAAAAGATTTTATAAACCAAAAGGTAATGGCTTATTTTATATCGATATTTATCTTAAAAAGCCTTTAAAAGCCTTTAAAAGCTTTTATTACGCATGTCATTTTGTATGCTTCTACTTTTATAATATTATCTCAATAAATTGTACTTTTTTAACTAACACACATTATTTACCACGATTATTTTGCTTTTCATTGCAGTGCCAAGTAAACCATTGAATTTAACCGTTTTGAATGTAACATCGACCAGTATCACCATGTCATGGTATCCACCAAAAAATCAAAATGGCGCCATTGCTGGCTACCATGTCTTTCATATACACGATAATCAGACTGGCGTCGAAATTATGAAGAACTCACGCAACTCGCAAGACTCGCTCATCATTTTCGAGCTGCCCAACTTAAGTAAGTGACTTTTTAAATTGAAAATTTTTTAAAGACTCTTATCTTTCAATTAATATTATTAACAAATACATAATAAATTGAATGCTATTTTTTCTCAGCAATTTGCAGCCCCCAAAAAACGAATAAGCTACATAGTAAACAATTCAGCAAGTGCTGAATATATTTCGGCTGTACTTCTTAACATAAGTTTACATAAATTGCGGCGCAAATTATCTAATCGCCTACATAGGTCAAGACTAGTATTTAGCGGCCAAAAGATACCAAATGTCCAAAATTTCTTCATATAACTTTTAAATTTCGTTCCAAAATACTAATTCAGCAAGCGCTGAATATAATTCAAAAACAATACCTTACATAGTAAACAATTTGATATAATTCAGATATGCATCTTACCAGAATCTTGGCTTACATTTTCGCACAGTCTATCTAATCGTCTCAATAGTTTCAAGGTTAGTAACAACAAAGAATACATTAAAATATAAAATATCGAAAAACACAAATTCCCTTCCATAATACTAATTTAGCAAGCGCTAAATATAATTCAGCAGCACGTTCTTACCACATAAAACCTGAATATAATTATTTAAGAACAAAAATCATATTAGAACTTCAAATAACTTGAATGTTCCAGCATAGCATTCAAGTACCATGCCAAATATCAACTCAGGATGCGCCGAATATAATTTAAGAGTACTTTTTTAATAAAGAAATGTATCATTCAAATTTCGTGTAAAAATACCAATTCAGCACGCGCTGAATATAATTCAGCAGTACTTTTGGCGAAGTTTCTTACTTAAAATGTAAATAGTTGTATTTTTATGCATGAATATTATGCGCTGAATATCTAACGCAAGTGATATAAAGTAAAATAGCAACAAAATATCATAATTTTTAGCCTTTCAACAGTCATATTACCATTTTGTGACTAAAAGGAGAAGAGATCTACGCAACATTTCTCATTGCGTTTTCATGCATATAATAAATATATTAACTTTATTAACAATATGCTAGTTTTTTGTGGCTTAATTTGCAATATTGAATATAATATGTAGTAGAGCTCATATGAATGATGCCAAAAAGCAAGTAGAGGACCCATTCAGCAAGTGGCTTATGTTAATAACAGATTATTACCGAAAGTCCGCCTTCAGCTTTAATATCACATAAAATAACACATTTAGCATGCTTTTTGTTCATTTCAACAGGGATTTCGAAAACATTTAGATACATTACCTTTAATAAATGGTGATTGAGTTTAAACGCTTAGACTTAACGACTTCCTGCAAAGCTTTCAAGAATGAACGTTTAAACTTTATAAAATAAAAATGGTTTTTGCCAAAATTTTATTTCTCGCTAAGAAATCACAAAAGCTCTGCGCTAAAGTTGACTCTTAGTCAACTTCCACCTGTAACAGCACTTTTCGCTAAATTTTCACTGTTAATTACCATTATTTCACTTCGATTTGCTATTATTTTCGCCCACAATCCACAACTCAAGTAGGCAATTAAGTGATGAATTGTTAATGACGCCAGAAATGCCACGAATTTCAAATCGTGAAAAGCGGCGCTCCTGAACAGCCCCCGCTCCAGCCATCCAACTTTGAAAGTTCGGAACAAAATATATAAAATAGCTGGTGAAAGCCGCACACTTAATGCTTATAACTTTTCGGGTATTTTCGACGCTTTAGGTGTTCTACAATGGTTGCTATTGTTTTTGTTAATATTGAAGTCCTGCTATTATTCTCGTGCATTGTGTTATTGTATTGCTGTGTATAATTACCTACTTTTAGGCGCGTTAAGTAATGCAAGTTGGTCAATTATTTTTTGAAGTGGCATTGAAGGCGACATTTTGGCTCTTTAATTGTCGTTTTTTTACTTTTCTGCTATTATTTCGAGATTTTATTGGCGTTGATGTAATTATAACTTGGTGTGGAGAAAGTCTACATTAAGTCGATTAACGTTTGCTCCTAATTGACTCTAAGTCAATCTGGATTTTATTATTACTTTTGAGTGTATGTGTAGGCGTTTAAGGGAGGAAAAGGCGATATAAAAGAAAGTGTGATATAAAAAGGAGCGTGGTATAAAATCCCAATGGAGTAACCCGTAGATTTGTATGGAATATTTATGTACGAAGTTGAGCTTAAATATTTTTCTGACTTAATTACTCTTCACATTAAACTGCGACGCATAAAATAAAGTAATTTGAAATTTGAGTAAAACTCTTTACTTTGTCTCCTTAGACACTGTAGGGTATTCATTTAAAATATTTAATTTAATGATTATCTTAACTTAAATTTGAATTGATTTGGGCTGAGCAACAACTTGAAAAGGATCCCTGACAAAAAATCATCTTCAGCGATTAGGCTCATTTCTGGCTGAATGGCTTCGTCTATAAGCAAAATATGTGTTGTTCGTCAGGCAGCAATTCACACGTATTTCATAAGCCACCATTGCATCACGAAAAAACTACGGTTTGGTGTGGTTTAAGGGCCGGCGGCGTCATTGGGCCGTACTTCTTTCGTGATAATCGAGACTGACATCTTACCGTTAATGGAAATCGCCCATTGGTAACCGAATATTTTTGACCCGAATTGTATGATGTGGACTTGGATAACATGTGGACGGCGCCACACAACGAATGTCTCAATAGATTTATTGAAAACCAAATTTGGTGAATGTGTTATCTCACGAAACGGCCCAGGCCACCTTGGTCCTGCGATTTGACATCGTTAAACCATTTTCTGTTATCTACTTGGTCCAATAAAAGCAAAATTAATGAAATAGCATCAAATAGTGCGCTCATGAACATTGACTGCCAAAAAGGTTGGTATACAGGTTCGCAAACATATGCCAAACATTGAAATTTGGAGGTGGATAACTGATGTCTTGGGATGCTTCCTCGGAAATTAGCGGGGTGTACTTTGGTGGATCGATGGTTTAATGCCTGCCACTGATTGTATTGACATTCCGGAAGAGTCATATCTTCCAAGTTTGGATATAATCGGACTCGAACGTGAGCGAGGAGATATTTTCATGGACATTTTCATACAGGACAACGATCTGAAACATTGTTTTTTTTTTTCAGAATAACTTTTTTTAATAGTTCAGGTGGAACAGTACTCTTGTTCTTTTCCAAACTCTGTTTGCACCAAAACGTAGGCTTCATATTTCATTATTTTCCTTTTAAGAGCGATTAGGCGTTTTGTACTGGATTTTGTAAGGAATATATTGTATTTGGTCTGACAGCTCTAACTGCTGAAACGGTAGCAAAACTATAAATCTGCTCTTACACTCCTTATTAGACTTTAGTAGTTAGTTCACAAGACTTTCATAATGAGGCCACATGCAATTTTAAGCGAAAATCTCGAATATAATTAATGCCACCCAACGAAATGCTATCCCAGCCCCTAAAAACCGACTATAGCCGGCGCAACTTTTCGTCATGCCACCAACTTTGCACATTGCAGCAGCAGCAGCAATAACAACAATAAAGCGTCATTCAACACCACCGGCAGCCGTCAGTCTTCTCAGCCGTTTTAATTTACTTTCATGTGAAAGAAAAATAAAATTAATTTGCAACTGACAAATTTGCATGCACAACAGCAAGCGACGCTGAACCACGCACACATACATACATATACATGAGTGAGCATGCAGCGCGCGCTGCGCCTGCTTGTCAAAGCATATTTGCATAAGTGATGTACATATCCGCTGTCAGCCGGCGCGCGGCGCTTGGAGTGCGATGCTAGTAATTAATTTGCCTCGCTAGAAAGCGCAAAAATAAGCAAAGAAAGCGCTTATAAAGAAAAGTCACGCTGCATGCATTGTTACTTGGCGGCTGCTCCTGCATCTATGTGTGTGTGAGTGCGTGAGTGTGTGTTGGTGTGGTTGAGTGTGTGGGTGCGCTGCACCCGCTGCCGAAAAATATGCAATTTCATGCAGCTGCAAGACAGCGGCGCAACAGCGCGGAGAAAACGGCAGTTTAAAAAATTGCTAACGAAATTTGCGACAAAGCAAAGATGCTGGAAAGTTCAACGAGAAAACAAAAGCGGTGTGAGTGACAGTATAGAGGAGGGGGGCGGACGCGTTGGCTGTGGCGGCTGTGCTGGCTGTGCTGGCGCTCAAGTGCAACTATTGTGAAAAGGCAAGCACTTATGTAATTTGCATATAAGGAGTCGGCGGGCGTGTGGTAGAGTGCGTGCAAATGTGTGTATGTGTAAATTTGTGTATGATTGTATGTATGTGTTTGTCTACTTGTACATGTAAGCGTATGCTCTTGCTTATATGCATGCATATATGTATATGTGTGCGTGTGTTTGCGACCAGCAAACGCTGATGCAATGTGAAATTAATTACTAACGGCATGCCTTTGCATTCATCAAGACAGCATATATTTGCACGCACACACCCCAACACACACACACACACTCACACGCATGCGGGCACACATTATGCGTGGCAAACAAGCAAACACAAACTTGCCACATGCTCTTATGCTGCAATGCAATTTTATAATTTCAACATTACCAACTTTTTTCGCCGGCAATTTAATAAAATATTACCGCGCCACTTTTTATTTTGTGCTTGCGCTGCTTTAGTCTGCTTTTCGGCGCTATCAAAATTAATTACGCCCAGCGCTGTCATGTATGCGCGCACACAAGCGCGTCAATGGGACGGTTTTTTTCTTTTTTTTGGTATTTTTTTACACTATATATGTATGTATGTAAATATGCACATTCGCGTTTGTAATTGAAATTGAAACTGTCTTTGCCGCAATGCACAGAGATTTTTTAATTATTAATTGCTACCTATTTAAAATTAAAAAATACTTGCCGCCCGCCTGCCTAGTATTGCTTTCATTTAAATATTTTCACAACTTTTTTTTTTGCTTTATGTATATTTCCGTACGCTGTACTTTGTCAGCTTTCGCATGTTCGGCCGATTTTATAGGTGACAAACCGCGCTCGCATATTTTAATTACATTAAGTTGCATGTGACAACGTTGGCACTCCAATAGTGCAATAACATGCATTTCGCAAACGCACGCGCACACGTGCATGCGCATACGCGACAACAACTTTCAAATATTTCTGTCATGCAAACATTGCTTGAGTTGAGTTATTTGCGCATGCAATACTTTATCTTCATTGACAACTACACTCATACACTGCCATAATTAACAGGACATGGTATTGTTGACACGACGCGAACACACACACACTGGTATATGCAGTCACGTTTCCGCGCGTTGTTTGGCTACACTGCGCGCTTTGCACTTTAATTTGACTACCTTCTTGCATTTGCTGCGAGGCTGTCAGTGCACATTGGCAGCTCGAATGGCGCAGGCAGCGCATTATTGAGCAATAAATGCAATGGCATGTATATAATATAAACATATATACATATGTACATACATATGTCAACATGTTTATACACACACACATATATTTATATTTTGTACATATACACCTACAAATGACTGCAAATTCTCGGCATAAATTATTGAAAAATCGCTCATACGCCCTGTCGTACATTGACACTCATTGCCCGTACGCCACGCCTGTTCAACGACCGCGTCCATCTGACTGGCTTCTCTTTAGCCACATCCACTTAGCCACTCATTGCTTGCTTGTTTGGCTACTTAACATAAACACTTATTAAACGCGACTGACATTTTTCAACATTAAATTAATTGCGACTTGTTATTATCGCTGACATTTTCACCAGTACGCGTAATTGTTGTTGTTGCTGTTGTTGCTGTTGTACGCATGAGGAATTCCATTGACTGCTGTGTTGAGCTGAAATTTCAGGCGGCATGCTTGGAACCGCATTAACTGTTATGTTGTTAACAGTTTCATTTAATTAAAAAACAAATGGGAAAAATGCGAGGCAACAACACTAACAAGCGCAAAAATTGTACAATAACAATAGCGAATATATTTGCAAAAGCATAATAAAAATTCACATAGTGGACGTTTAACCCGAAATACGACATTTTCGGAATTTATTGCTTTTTAATAATTCTTGTACCCACACTCTGTGAGTAAATATGTAAATTCATATCCAAACAGGTGTGTAGAGTTACAAAATTGTCATGTCCGACATTTTGTGAGAGCAAATACATATGTTTGTATATTTTTTTAATTCATCAAATTTTGATACTAATTTTTTATTGTAAAATGTATGGACTTTATTTGGACACATAATCATGTTACCGAAGACAAAACCAAAAAGGCGGCCTGAACTAATCGGCATTACTGTATTATTCTACAATACTAGTATTATATTGTAGGCACTAAAAGTCGATACGTCGAGAGTGGTGGAACAAGTTTTATTGTCAAATTCTCTGGCTCATGGTTCTCAATGATCTTCTAAAAAGCAAAAAAGTTTTAAGACGCCGCCAGCCAAGTAATTACCTATTCCGACGACTTATTTTTCTCGGTTGAATGAAAATTCCTACAGAACGTATATGAATCAAAAGTGTACTCAAGTGTACCGCAGCTGCCTAAGCAGCCGTGCTACTGAAAGTGACATCGCCATTCTTCTCAGTAAGATCGAACTTTACTAGAAAATGCAAAGTCAAGTAGGCGTTTCTTCCATCGTTGGGAGGAACATGTATCCGGCCCGAAGGTAGAATTGAATGTCTTTGGCTCATTCTAGACAGGTTGTTCTTATGGAAATATTAAGGCAAAATCAAGTAGCGCATCGGTTAACCTTTCTTGCTGTAGAGGAGCCAGTGACTAAATATGGAGTTTTCCACCAAGATTAGTGCTTTATGATGCCCTAACTAAGTCTTTAATGCTCCATTTGTATGGTTCACAGAGTGGCTCTCAAGTGCGTGAGTAAGGTATTGAGAACCACACCAACTACGAGGCTCAACACCTAGTTGCACATATAGCTTAAAGATGTATGGTAACGAATGTTGCTGCCATACATAAGTTAAGAAACACATTCTTTATAGAAGGTGTATTTTCGTAATAAATTTGAACGATTTGTAAACATCGTTCAGGTGTAAGTCTTCCTATGATGAAATGCCAAACAATACTGAACAAAAGTAGCATAACAGCTTGACACGACTCACGCGTAATCTGTCAAAAAAAGGGTATTGAAGAAATTACCTACACTTGGATCACCCGTTACCAATATACTCGGGTTTAATTTAAGCTTAATTCATGCTCACTTCGTCATATAGACGTAGGCCAAGCTGCTGATTAAGGGTCTTCAAAATAATATAGAGAACCTTGGATCACTAGGTCTTAGTAAACGGTCCATTGGGTTTCTCTCAAAAAAAATTGATTTAGAAAAATTTAATTTAGAATAATGTGGTGAACTAAACTTGAACTAAAAGAGATAACTGATAATATATATGTATATAAAAAATAAATATATTTCTCTCAGTAGAACCATATTGGTGATATTACATAATAATAATGTTGCAACAGCCAGGCCTATTCCTTTAAAAAATTTAAGAAAAGAAACTTTTTTTTTGAAGATAGTAACTATTCATCTTTAAATAAACTAATTTTTTATTTTTTTTATCATGAAAAAAAACAAATCCCTACTGAGCACTTACTTTATTTGAAATATTTTAAATTTTTTTCTCGTTTACTGAAATACATTTTCAACCGCGAAGCCACACAAAAAAAAAAAAAATTATACAGAAAATACGAGAGCTATGCGCTCGTTACTCCATTGTCCGCATTGAAAATATGGAAAATATTTTAATATCAATTTAATAATAATAGCTTTTCAACCATTTACATATTCCCCTTGTAATTGTAATTATATAATATTTTTTAACGCACTTCTTTTTCCCTTCGCGTCGTTTCATTGCAGAGCCATTCACCGATTACCGTGTCATTGTGCAGGCGTTCACCATGAAAAACGAAGGCAACCCCTCCGACCAGATTGTACAGCGCACCGATGTAGCCGGCCCGAGTCCACCGTATGTGGTTAACCTGACGTGTCACTCGCAGGACGCCATCGCTATACGCTGGCGGCGACCGCACGAATTTTACAACACCATCGATTTTTATATAATTAAAACACGTGTGGTGGGCCAAGACAACCATCGGGACATACGAATCAATGCGTCAGCGAAGGAGCTGGAAACAGCGGTAAGTCAATGGTGTTGAGTTAAATGCGGCGAATGAAATGCATTGTCTGATGAAACTGATAGTGATGTCTTAAGCAGGAAAGTTGTAAAGTAGGGAGTCAAATGAAATGATTCTTGGAAAGATATAGGAAAAGAGAAAAATGTCCTTTTGTTTTTTTTAGTCAAGATTGGTTTTAAAACAATTTTAAACAATTTATTTTTGATCCATATATTACTTCAGAAAAGAAATAGAAATCCTCAGTACCTCTGCGCCTCATCGTAATTATGCTCTTGAAGCAAAGAAATGGAGCTGGCATCTGTGACAGCCATCTGCAAACTATCTTTACCCACAACGCTGAAGTGGCTTGCTGCTGCTGCACTATACTCCTCTGTTCTTAGACTCCCTCTTGCCTAGACTTTTTTGACAGAGCTCTCATCGCTTTATTCTGCGAGCGATTTCTTTCTTTGTCTGGGGTACTACTGTCTATTTTCGGCGCATTAGTTTCTCTTCGCCAATTAAGGTGTCGAAAGCCTGTTCTGTGGCAATCTTACCGAATATATAGACTACCCTCTGGAACCGATTTTTCATCACCTGATTTAAGGATTTCTTTCTTTTTATACAATGACCCTCTGCTACAGCAGCCAGTGCGCTATGGTTGGTACTTATGACTGCTTTAACGATGAAGGGTTCCATATTAATGCTATTGGTCAGTTTCCTTGGCGGCTGCGTTTCTAGTTTTAGGGATTTTAATGAGAAATTGCCCTATTGGAGTCCACGCGGTAAGGCTGGGAATCCTACCAGACGTAAACTGCAGAAGCTGTATGCAAGAAGATGAGGTGGAACTTGACTGCTCCGCGTTCGAGAGGTCAAGACTTAAACACATCCCACTGATCTGGCGGGAATTGAAATTAAACGCTCGTACATATTTGTATTGCCTACTTAGCGTTTTGCTAATTATTGCGAACGAGTTCGTCTTTTCTATGGCCTCACAAAGGACTACTTATAAGGTGCGTTTCATGGTATGCAGGACTTTTTGAATCTAGCGTTCCCTGGTGGCGCTATTTCGACTGGTTCATTAGAATTTGCTACCTTTATCGAATGCCTAGTGAGAATTTCATGACATTACATTGATTGGAAGTGAAGTTATTGCATTTTAAGTGTCAGTATGTTTGTGTTATCGGCGAAAATGAGCTTCGAACAAAGAGCCAACATTAAATTTTGTTTTAAAATTGATAAAACTTTTACCGAAACGTTTCAATTTGTGAAACAAGTTTATGGCGATGATTGCCTATCCCGTGGCAGAGTGCACGACGGGTTTCAACGTTTTCAAAGCGGTCGTGAGGATATCCGTGATCACCGGAAATTCCATCGAATTCAACAAAAATCAACCAAAAGCATCATTAAAATTCGTAGAAATAGACTTTCACACCTCCAAAACATCGATTTAACGCATTTTGACTGAACGTGTGGACTTACGAATGGTGTGCGCACGGTTTGTTCCGCACAAATTGACTGATGACCAAAAATTGCTCAGAATCCAAAATTCGAGCAACGCTTGTGACCGATTATTTGATCAAAAATCACATTTTAACCATTAACCATTCCCCGTATTCACCTAATATGACACCGTGAGACTTCTTTCTTTTCGAAAAAAAAAAACATTTGCCCATGAAAGGAAAGCGTTATGTAGACGTAGAGGCCATTCAAAAGGCTTGTGCCGGCATACTGGCGGCCATACCGGCCAACGAATTAAAACACTCGCTCGACATGCTTTTGGAACGCGCAAAAAGTTGTATTAAAGCAGAAAAAGACTATTTTGAAAAACCCATCTGTTTTATTGTTTTTTTTTTTCTCTAAAGTCCTGTTTACTTTGGAACGCACCTTGTATGGTAGATGATGAGCAATTTTTGATCCAGCCATCTAACTTAATTACTGATAAATAGAACGAACATTATTGATGCAATTTGCAGTAAAATACATACATTTCCATTGCAAAAATTTTAGTGAAAGAAATCAGAGGAAAAAAAATTTTTTTTTTCAAATTCTTTATGTTCATATATAAGTAGATATATGTGTGATAATAATTAGAGCTTACTATCACAACAAAAACAAAAGTTTTTACACAAACATAAACATGAAGAAGCAGCGACCTTAGAAAACCATTGCTCTAATGCTTCAAAAATAAATAAACAATTTATTTGCAGCCACAAAAATCAAGCAACAGATTTATATTTGCAGAAAATATGACACTTGACTGAATTGAAGCTTTATAAACACAAATTTTACTTTTACAAACATCAATAAGTAAGAGTATAACTCACTATATCAGTATAACAGTGTGAGAAGAATTCAATGTAATATTTTGTACGAGATTTTCCTCTCCATTTGTTAGGAGCAAATCGCTTTTTCTATAAAATTTAATATTACTGCAGCCAAAAATTCAGACCCGGAGTAAATATCAAAAATGATTGCAACTCGACTCGCTTTATATATGTCAAAACGACACATATTTATGTACATATATAAGAATATTTCTATATGTATATGTATCTATCTACATTCGGCAAATATTTTGCGGTTAAATTTTAAGCCACAATCAGATACACACCTTCATAGAAAGCTGTGCTGATTGCATTCACACATCTGTATTTTTACACATTTATTTGTGATTGAGTAGAGATCATTGCATATTTTTCGGCGCAGAAACCAAATGACTGCTTTACTCAAAGAACTTTGTGCGTATATCACATTTATTTATTTTTCCCAAGTAAATACCGACAAATGCCAAACTAAAACGGAAATAAAATGAAAATAAAAATAAAAATAAAATTGGAATAGAATAAGTCTCGTCAATGTTGTCGACTATCTCTCTGACTGCGGTTCCAGCAAAAGCAATGAATGTGCCAAAAAAATAAATGTTGCTATATACATATATTGTAAATACACAAACATACGTATAAATAAATGTAAGCAAAGAGCGATACTTTACTTGTAACTTTTCCCTGCGCTACCAACTCAAATTTCACAAGTTCTATGCACACATATACACACATATCCATATCTTGCGAAGAGTTCAACTCATATTTTCTGATTTACTGATACTTCTTCTTCTTTCTTTTTGGATTTATTTTGCAGATGATACTACAAAATATAACAACACACACGGAATATGAAGTCAGAGTTGCAGCTGCAACTCTAAGCATAATAAATCCAAAGAAAATCGTACTGGGCAAATATTCCGAACCGAGAAAGGTAAGTACTGTGTAAAAAAAATAGCAAAAAAAAAACGAACACTTATGAATAAATATAATATACAGTCGTAGTCATGTTTACACGTTTGTTATGGCACTTAGAAGAGTTCACATTGTCAGGCACACCAAAATGCTGAAACTTAACTTATACGAGAAATGAAAAAAAAAAAAAAATGTTGAAAGAAAAAATAATACGAAAAAAATGAAAGAATATATTTCCATTTGCCACACCAAGGCTGCATCTTTCGCACCACTTTTTGGTATTCGTTTTGTTTTTCCTACTCACATGCTCCGACATATTGCTATCTCTCTGAGATATCAGCTGCTTGTCTAAAATAAATTTCATCGAAAAGCTCCGCTAACAGTGTGTGGATATGAAAAAGTTGCACAACATCTAGAGCTGCTGCAAGAAAAAAGTGTGCGAAAAAATGTGCACGAAAGGGCCAAATAAAGGATGAAAGTGTAAAACTGCAACTCAGGCGGCATAAAGTTGGCAAAAATATGGATAAAATGTCACGCCAACTAAACTTCGTTTGACTTTGTTTGTAACCGTTATAACTTGTGTGCTTTCCTTGGATTATGTCGCACCAAAAAAAAATTGTGATCTGCGAAACGGTCGGTGAATGGTGCAAGATATCTGAATTTCATATGGTAACAAAGAATTTGTTGTTGCACACTCACGAAACCTGTCAACATATTTGGGTCAGCGGGCGTAAGCCTTCGATAAATATTTCAATTTCGTACAAAGGCAAATATTCAGCGACAAATAAGTTGTAAGATTTTTACTCAAAATAATCAAATATTGTATTTGTCGGAATATGTATTGTTGGTAAATACTTGTAAAGTATTGGTATTATTTTATTAAATTTAGATGAAATGAAGATAATTCACTTTCTAAGAGCTTAACACTTAAAGCTTATCTAAGCTACTCGTTAATCCAGTGTTCAGAAGACAGATGGCGCTGTGAACGCAAAATGTATTATTTTCGTTCTATTTTAATCAGCTTTAGAATTAACAAGTTTTTTTTTTTTTTTTTTAATGAAAACTACTCTTTCGGATTGTACAAATTTTTATTTGTTACTATATAGAATGTGAAAAAAGTACCGGAAATTGTAAATAAAACTCAATATTTCTATTTTGTCGCCTTCAAGCCAACAATTTTTTCCAGTCCTCGCAACGTTTTTATAAGCAGATTTAGGTTTCAGCTTTTTCAGCAAATTTTGTTTTATCTCTCATTGGCAGTTGTAATGCTGTCCATGAATGTGGTATCGGGTTTCGCACGATCAAGCATATCCAAAGAGACGTATATGCGTTACTCTTTTTGAAAAAAAAAATCAGTTTTATCGGGACGAGACGAGTAAAAGCGCGTTTTATACCCAAAGTAGCCACCAAAATCGTTTAAACGGATTCACGAGAGACTCGGAGCTCCCTTCCCATATGTGATATATACATACATTGTACCTATAGACAGGTATAATACAACTCTTAAGGTTGCGTTCACTGACTCCGAATTTCGATAGTAAATTTTAATGATCTTGACTCGTTGTCGAATCATATATTTTTCCATGATGAAATGGCAAACATTACTGAAGAGTAGTGTCAAAAGTGCGGAAGTGGCGTCATTTGGTGTCCCTATCGGTCTACTTTTGTAGCGTTGCTATCGAAAAACCCTCTACTATACTTAAGCGCATGAATTTATTATATTCATAGGTATTTCCAACAATTTTTGTGTGCGCCATAATGCTCGTATTTATTCAGGTATGAAAGTGGAAAAATTTGAATGGCAATAAACTTCCGCTAGCTCCACAACATGTCATCACAACACATCACATCAATCATCAAACTATACCACACACTTAAACGCTTTTTTTCTGAGGAAACTGCAGCAATGGCAGTCGCATAAGTTGTCGCTTATGTGCTGACGCTAATAAAGCGTGCAATCAAGCAGCCAACGCTGAAAGAGTCATCAGCAATAAGCTTTCAGAAAAATTAAACATAAAAACAGGGAAATTTTACGGATATAAGCTGTAAAGAGCGTGGTTATATAATATAGCTATAACAACAACTTCTTACACAAAAACTATCAAATTCATAGAAAAACTTAGACAATCAATAGAAAGTAAATTAAAGCAGTTACTAACAGTTACTGGTGACGGAAAAAGCCCACTACGGACTAGTGTGTAGCCGGAAAGAGTTATTTTTATGGCAACGACCGACCAATTTATTATACATATTATAGCGCAGGAGTTGCCCAAAAAGATTAAGTGCAGTTGATTTAATATTAATTTTTGTTGTTTTTGTATGTGGACTGCAGCAAATGAGCAAATTTACCTGTTGTTGGTCATATTAGCTTTCAACAGAAAGGCTTACAGGCGCTCATTGTGCTGCGATTTAGCCTCTAAGCAGACCAAGCGCATTAGGGTGGTCGTTAAGTATAGGTGCAATATTGTGTACATTAAATTTTTTATCTGAAATCCTTCGTTGCGAGCACTTTAAATAGATATTAAATGTAAAGTTTGGCTCCTAGTATATATAGAATCGAAGATATCATTTAGAAATCATTTTACATAGTGAGTAAAAATTACTCCAATCGCACACGTCGCCTTCTCCCAAACAAACTATTCGCTGGTTGAAATCGAGGAAATCGGACCATTTAAGCATATAGCTGCCGTACAAATTGCACGAACAAATTTTTGTTATCGTACGGAAGTTTTTTTTTTCTTCACGAGAAATCGTCATCAAATATGGCTGCGCCTAAGGGAACGCAAAAATGACTGAAGAATTTTTTTGAATTAAAATATAGGTATCAAAACCCTGTTTGCAATACTTTTTTATTAAACGAGGTATCTGCATGAAATGTTTTATGGATTATTGTTTTACATACAAACCGACCGATCCATATTAAGCATTTGTATAGAAAACTTTTTTATTCGTGTTTTTTAGTTTCTTTTTTTTTTGATATTCTTATCTAACACCCTAATAAGTATATATATAAAAATCTATTTGTGTAAAACAGTTACATATAAACCCTTAAATTCACGCTCATACAATTTTTTTATTTATTTATTTTTCCATTTCATATTTGATTTTTTTTTTTTTTTTTTTTTTTTTTTTTTTTTTTTTTTTTTTTTTTTTTTTTTTTTTTTTTTTTTTTTTTTTTTTTTTTGTATGTTCTCCAAAGTTGTCTTACATCACCACTCTGCACCGCATCTCTGCCGCTGACAACTCATGAACATGCAATAAATTTTGAAGCGTAATTTTCCACATTTTTCACATTTATTTTATTTTAACCCACGTAGCGGTTACCGTAACGATGTAGCACTCTTCCCACACACACACACGCACACATATATACACACCTTTACAGTTATGCTCATGAAGCGAGCAATTTTTATAACCGCTACAACAGCTTTCATATCCTGTTAGCTGTGCCGCTGTTGGACTTCCACCCCGCCTTGCAAATATGTAAAATGTTTTTTCCTTGCTTTCTATGTTTGTTGTATATTTTTGTAGTTGTTTTTGGTTTTTGCGGCCAAAAGTTCATCATAATCCTTCAGCGTACCTGGCGCGACCGTCTGCCACTGCCACTTGTACAAATTTATACAGTTTTGTTGCCGTTGTTACCGTTATTGCTGTCAGCGAGCGGTAAGCTATGGCCGGGATGCGTTGCGCTTGTACTTATTGTTCTTCGCCTTTTTGCATTTGCTTGTTTTATGGCCCATTTGTGTGGCACGTCATTTCCTACGCGCTGCTGCCATATCTATTTGTTTTCTTTTTTGGCGCTAAGTCACGACACAGCCATCAGCCCATCGCCAACAACCGCTCTAGCGCTTTCGTAGAAGTTACTATAGTTTCAGCCGCAGCTGCTGCAGCCGGGATGATCGCTGGCTGCTGGTCGGTTGCGTCTGCAGTCTAATGGTCGCGGTAATATTTTCTCTTACGTATGACTCATACATCTAATGGCACTATCACTGAAACCGCAACACGCTCCGCTAAAAAGCCAAATAATATGCCTTAATGATGTTTATGTGAGAGCAGTTGCGTTTCTGCTTCGTTGCTAATAGCGCGCTGGGTTCTTCCTCCACATCACACGCGTTCATTTCTATTTATTTAATTTTTCTGTAGTTTTTTGCTAGCAACCTTCTTGTGCATAAATCTCTGCCACTTCCGGCCATGGTAGCCCTCCGCCGCCGTGTTGTGTTTCCGTTTCACTTAGTAAACGCCATTGAAGCCAGCAAAAACAGAAGTTAACTCGCGAGCGCAGGCGGCGACGCTCATGTTATTTCTTCTTTAGCATTTACAACAATAATTTCGTACTTTAAATAGCGCCCTCGGCTGTGTTTTGGGTTGGTTGTTGTGGTGTCAGTTTGCATGCGGATTTATTTGAGTACGAAATCATAGATAATTAGTTGTCATATTTAGAATCTCATTTGATGTGGTTGTTATTGTTATTTTTAAGCATTTATGTTATGAGCCGTAAGCCGTTGGCTGCTGGTACTCCTTTTCATAAACTGTAAAATGTGGATAGGATCATGTGATCATAACAAAACCACGCTTTCATATATATTAATATATATTTTAATTATCGACTACAAAATAGACTCCAAAACCAATACAAGCTGTCTTATCCAATTTTCTATACACATTAATGCCTTCAGTGAATATTACTGCTCATTTCCATAAAGCCACGTCTCGTCAACAGTAATGATGCGTTTGTTGAATATTGGGTCCTTAGCTAGGTTGTCAAACAAATATTTTGTGATATTTTCAAGTTGGTCATTAACTGAAATTTTTGGAGTCCATCCACATGAGATATTGAGATCCTTTGCTATATTTTTAACGCCAGTACGATGATTTCTAAGCACTGTTTCTTTAATTTAGTCATGCTATCGTCGTAACCAGCGATGAACGGGCGACTCGCATGAGGCAAGTTTTTAATGACTTCTCAACCTTCACTAAATGCTTCTTCTTCTTTATTAGCGTAGCCAACTCTCACGCACTCATTGCCGAGTTTACAAAAGCCCACCAGTTGTTTTTTCTTTTCGCTGTTTGGCACCAATTGGAGACTCCAAGTGTAGCCAGCTCCTTCTTCATCTGATCTCTCCAACGCAGTGGAGGTCTTCCTCTGCTTCCGGCTGCGGGAACCGCGTTAAATACTTTTAGAACTGTAGTGTTTTCATCCATTATGACGACATGGCCTAGCCAGCGAAGCCGCAATCTCCTCATTCGCTGAACTATGTCAATGTCGCCGTATATTTCGTACTGATCATCGCCGAAAACTCATAACTCCGACTCCTCAGATGTTGTTGTCGTTGTAGCGGCAAAATTTGGCCGAGTTAACAGTCCTTGGCCGAATAAAAATCATGGGAACGAATAATTGATGTTCGGTTGTGGTCATCGTCCATGCCTCTGCACCGTATAGCAGGACGGGGATGATGAGTGACTTGTAGAGTTTGGCCTTTATTCGACGACAGCCGACTGTACTTCTTAATTGCCTTCTCAGTATGAAGTAGTACCAGTTGACAAGAGTTGTTCTGCATTGGATTTCAGGGCTGGCGTTGTTGTTGTGGTTAATGTTGCTTCCAAGATAGGCAAAATTATCTACGACTTCAAAGTTATGCGTACCACGACTGTTTGTTTTATGCCAAGATATATTTCGTCTTGCCCTCCTTCACAACCAGACCCATGCGCTTCGCTTCCATATCCAGTCTGGAGAAAGCTGAACTAAATGAGGAGGATGGAGTCATGTGTAGAAGTTCACACAAGTGAGGAAAGTTCTCAAATTTTTTACGAACATAAACGAAGGTTGCTTCAGTTCAAAAAAATTGTATTGATTGGGTTACAGACCAGGTCGGATAAATTTCGATCATATGATATATTTTCTTTTACAAATAATATGCGGCAATGACCTGTTAGAACCGCTACATTATCTAAACTTGCTAAGAGCGAAGAACAATTGGAAATTCCAAGTTCCCTCGACTTCAGCATAGGTCATTCCAATGCGCCAATTACCGTAAATCTTCCTAAAGCATACTCCCAAAAACTTGTAACGTCGACTCATCAGCTGTTATCATCGTCCATTGTATTGATTGGGTTACAGACCAGGTCGGATAAATTTCGATCATATGATATATTTTCTTTTACAAATGATATATATTAAGTTCAAGACTACTATCAAAAATCAGAAAATTCAACAAATTGATTCCGCAAAATTTAGTCGATAGAATGTTACTGAGTAGAAGATATTTACTTCAGAAAAATTTAAAAAGTTTAGTTCAATAAAATATGACGTAACCACCATTATTTATTTCAAAAATTTCCAAAATATTAGTATTAGTATCCACAAAAACAACAAAAAAACCAAATAATTACAATATGTGATTTCAATGTTTTCCAATTTTAAATAATTTAAAATTCGTTTTTTCTTTTCAGATTTCCTTACATCCCAACTGTGAAAAGATTCAATCACTACTACGTCAATCCCATAATGACTATAATCTCGCTGTTCTTGTCGGCATTATATTCAGCTGCTTTGGCATTGTGCTCATCGTAATGGCATTCTTCTTGTGGAGGTAAGTGGTGCTCCTGTATATATTACATACATACATATTTACATAAATAATTCACTAAAAGTGATTAATAACTAAATAATACAGAGAGACATTTTGACATTTAACAGAATTTTAGCTGAATAAAGTGCTGAATGTCAGTTATCGTTCTCATTACCTGACTAAAGCTACAAAAGGCAAAGTGTTGGAAAAGTCATACCTAAAGTTTTAATGGGTTCAATTTAATATTCTAACTTGTATTACTATGTGTCAGAAAGTTTCAATTTCAATTTTAATTTATTTCGCCGCTAAACTAAATTTTAATGATAATTTCCATTTAATTTTGAGATTGTAATGAAGTCTGAAAAAGTCGCATTTGTCGGTAGAGAAAAAAAATTTTTTTTAATCGTCGAAAATCAATTTATTGTTTTTCAAAATATTCTCTATTGAGATCTGTAAACTTTTGCATAGTTTTAAACCAATTCTCGAAGCACTTTTGGATCTCTAAATGAAGTATCTCCAAACACGTACAGCCTCAATAGGTTCCGGAATAACATCTTTTTGCACCACCATCACGAAATTTTCACGATTTAATTCAATTCTTAGCCATAATGAATATTTTAAGTTACTGTAAACTACGCAAATAAGGCTCATATGTCAAAAAATTATGAATATAAATAACATTAAAAATATCAAACTTTTCAATAAAGTTGTGAGATGCCAGAACAGGGCTGTCATATGCCATAGGCAAGACTAAGGTTGTCATATGCTGAAATAAAAGGAAAAACACAAAAACAAAGAAAGAACATTCTTTGCCATTTATTTCTTTGAATATTATCTCTATCAAATGTTGGCCGCGGCTACGCATCAGATGGTCTATCCTTTAAGTCCAATTTTAGATGACTCTTTCGAGCATTTCGACTGGTAACTGGCGAATGATACGCGTGACGGTTTGCTCCAAAGCCTGAACCAAATCGGGTTTGTCCGCATAGACTTTGGATTTTACAGATTCTCACAGGAAAAAGTCTAATGAGCATGTAATTCTTGGTTGCCAATCGACCGGCCCTAAACGTGAAATTATCTGTGGCAGTTCGGCTTGCTTACATACCCATTGAACCAGAAATGGGAATTAACACTGAACAAACTTTGGCTCGAAAACGTTGGAACTTCTTGAAACATTTCAAGTGCCCATAGAGACAATCCACGTCGCTTGAGAAGGTCGAGCGGCTTCAAGTCATGCACAAGCTGTATTTTGTACACTTTCAATTTAAGATATCGGCGTTAAATCTTCCAAAGAGTTCCATACGTCAGTCCGAGTGTCAACCAACATTTGTATCGTTCATAAAATTTTCATAAATTTTTAATATAATTTTTTGATATAGTATAACATCCAATATTATTATTATTTTTATACTGTCGCAACAAAGTTGCTAGAGAGAGTATTATAGTTTTGTTCACATAACGGTTGTTTGTAAGTCCTAAAACTAAAAGAGTCAGATATAGGGTTATATATACCAAAGTGATCAGGGTGACGAGTAGAGTTGAAATCCGGATGTCTGCATCCAGGCTTTTTTTAAAAATTGAAAATGGGCGTGGCGTCGCCCACTTATGGACCAAAAACCATATCTCAGGAAGTACTCAACCGATTTCAGTGAAATTCGGTATATAATATTTTCTTAACACCCTGATGACATGTACCAAATATGGGTGAAATCAGTTCACAACCACGCCTGAAATCTCCATTATCACTTTATCATGCGAGAGTATAAAATGTTCTATGACACCCGAACTTAGCCCTTCCTTACTTGTTTTTTATACTTATCTTTTATAAAATTAATTTATGCCCAACAAATCAATAAAAGTAACTTTGCTGACGGCGCAAATTATTCTCCCCTAAATGTAGCCGTAAAGAAGACTTCCTTTGTACACAGCACTTTCGCCTACAAAGCCAAAGCGCTCAGCTAAAACCTGTCCAAAGCGCACTCACTTCAACAATTCAAAAGCTATTTGTATTTATGGCAACATTCTCAAAAACTTGCTTGTTTATTACAGTTTCATTTCATTATTTTTATTTCACTCCAACCTGGCGTTTCAAAGTGACTAAATTCGTAAGATATTAGCAAAAAAAAATTTAAATCAAGTAAAGCAACAGCAGCAAAATTAAATAATAAAAATATTTCATTTAACCCTTCAGTGCAAAGAAGCGCATTTGGACAAAATTTCAAAGCTTCAGCTCGTCGATTGCTGTGTAAATTGGTGAACGTGGCAAAGGAAACGCAAAATCATCAACTAATTGCCTTACTCCTACTGATTAAATACTTTACAGTTACAAGCATGCACGAGTATATTTTATTTCTTATATATATGGACGCTATACATATATATATATATATATATGCAAGTAGGTATACTATAAACATAAGTTCGTTTTTCAAAAGGATATAATAAGAAAATTAAGCTCGCCTTAGAAGTGTACTGTAAATAGACAGCTGCTCCGTTAAACAAAAGCAAGTGGCTGGTCAGCAAAGAGTTTGGGAAAATATTGCATAAGCTTTGAAAATGCGGGAATTTATATTAAAGGCTTCTTCGAGAAAAGTCAATGGCGTGCTTACATTTGTGTAAATAAAATACACTTAAGTTTTAATGAAAGCCACTTCTGTAGTTACTAAATGAGAAATATGTATCTTCTGTTATGCGAGTAGTCGTCTAATTAGTAAATTGAAGGTAGAATTGTTACGCAACTCAAGTGAACGCAGACAAAAATATTGCTTTTTAATAATTTAATTTAGATTATTTATGTAATATTAGCAATGAGAGCAATGTGGTCTTGGTTAGGTTATATAAGGGTAAGTTTTGTGGCTGAACCTCAAAATGGCGATCACACTTGGCGTACTTTGTACACATATATCAGCTTTTGTAAGTCGAGAAGACGCCTTCTTACAATCATAAATCTGTTTAGGCATTCTATTTGTGTTTCTACTGACCCAACGGGATATCTGCAAGAATTCTATGGCTGATCCTCAAGTTGGAGAATGCACTCCGACTACAATATGCACATATATCTGATCTTACAAGTCAACAAAGCACCTTGGAACTATTACAAAACTGCTTAAGCGTTTCATTCGTATTCCTATTAGCTCAGCGGGATCTTTATAAACCATAAGACCCTCAAACTTATTGCATGAACACTGATGTTGCAATAACTTGCTCAGAGCGAAGAACTCATTAGAAGTAAGTTAAGTTAAGTATTCTCTCCTGAAACCCAGCTAACCAATAGTGGAACTCACGAAGAGAGGGAACTTTGCAGTCCTGACCAAAGCCGACCGACTCACCGGGAAGTCTATCAACGCGATGAGTCGCTTAAGTGGTGATGTCGCTTAGGAAGCATAATCAAAATATATTGTTGAACGGTTTCTATCGCATCAGTATTCATACATAACAGGCATAAGATTCTCAAACTTAAAGCATGAACACCGATGCGGCAATGACCCGTTAGAACCGCTACATTATCTAAACTTGCTAAGAGCGAAGAACAATTGGAAATTCCAAGTTCCCTCGACTTCAGCATAGGTCATTCCAATGCGCCAATTACCGTAAATCTTCCTAAACCAGTCTCCCAAAAACTTGTAACGTCGACTCATCAGCTGTTATCATCGTCCATGCCTCTGTAGCATACAGCAGGGTGGGAATGATGAGTGACATGTAAAGTTTGGTCTTTGTTTATCGTGAGAGGACTTTCCTACTCAATTGCCTACTCAAGACTTATTATGCGTTGGATTTCGAGTCGAGTCTGACGTTGTGGTTGGTGTTAATACTGGTTCCAAAATAGATGAAATTATCTACGACTTCGAAGTTATGACTGCCAGCAGTGACGCGGAAGCTAAGTCGCGAGTGCAACGACTGTGTGTTAGATGAGAAATGCAATAATTTTTAAATTACCTCAAAAAATAGATCAGAGAAAGAAAATATGTAGACCGAACCGACCAAATTTCATATATTCCTACATACATTTCCACATCCCTATAACTGTAACCACTTCATCAAGCATATTACATTTAAAGTTATTTACCTCAAAAGAAACCATAAAAAAAAGGAAAAAAAAGAAACAAAAACAAAACCCAATCAACTTTATTTTCTTCACGTCATTGCACAAAAATGGCTGCTGCCAACTTTTTCATTTCCATTTCAGGTGGTAAATATTATATATTTTCCACAGTCCCAACTTTTATCAAAGAAGTTTGCAATATATAGTTTTCCTTTTTTTGCGGTACTTTTGGTATTCTCGCTTTGAGATAAGCGCGCCAAAAAAGTTGCGAAAGTTGTGAACTCAAAGTAGCACACATATGCACTCACACATGTAAACGCACATATTCATGAGTGCTTTTATATGTATATGTATGAAAAAAATGTTAGAGCAAAGTTAAAGAACTGTGGTGTGAAAATACCAATATCTGCAAATTTTCTGTTTGGTCTAAATTTACAACCAAAAGACTTAACACAGATTGACATTGACAGCTTCAGTTAAGAAGAAGAGAAAGCGTAAATGAAAGAAATATTGTAGAATTTGTTTTGAAAAAATGTCAATGAAACAAGAAAATGATAACATAATAAGAAATTTAAAAGATAATAACTGTTTAAATTTAAAATATTTGTTGAAGAATTAAGCTTGACTTACATTTGCTATATTTTGAAAAATTAAAGTTGGTTGAAGGCATCCATAGAACTTTAACGTTTGAAACTTGCACATTTTGATTTTAGACAATTACTATTAATGCATGTAGCAATTTTTCTCCATAGATCTGACTTTTCGTATTTACAGTCAAACACACTGAGTGTGAACCTATAAAAAAAAGTGATCCTATTCGAGGTTCCCTATCTTTTTAAAGAAAAACCCCAGAAACTTCAAATTTCATGAAGAATGTCCAATATCATATGAAAAACATTTTTAGACATTAAATTTTTTAAGATGTTATATTTAAAATATTGGCCGCGGATACGTATCAGATGGCACATTCGTTGAGTCC